AAAAAACAAAAACAAAAAAAAAACCTGAGGCTTTGTCTGCTTTCTTTACGCTTTACAATTTTGGAAGGATTTTTCCAAGGATGATGAGGGACAAGATCCTTGTTAAAGAACACTTTGAATCTCATCCAACAAAGATGACAATAAATCTTCAAACCATTTCTGACCATATGTCACAGCTCCTGAAGGCAAATGAAGGCTTTTACAGCTTTTAAATAATCTTTGGCAATGACAGCTGTTAAGACACTTATCCTCCTTCCCACTCTTTCCTTTCTCACAAATGGGAGGGAAAGGTTGTGCTTCCATTCACCCTGCTTCCAGCATCACACATCATGACCTGGGTTACTGTAAGCTAAACATTAAAAACAACATGAAAGGTTTACTTAATGTGTGCAAATTAAGAAACCTGTTATCCGCACAGCTCACGCAGTTTTCAAAATAAAGAGATTGCCTTACATTCCTAAACTATACTACTGTTCAAGGGCAAGCTGTATTTACTTTGGTGTTTCTACTGCTGAATCAGCTCCAGACACAGAGAAATAAATAATTCTGTTAATGTTTGTATAGAAAGCTTGCAAGGGCTCAATTCTATAAATCACTATATTTACCACATTTAATAGTATGATTTTTACATCTGTTTTCTGCTGTTGAAAGGCTCAGATTAGTATATCAGAGTGTAAAAGAGGATTTGAATTTTAAGAAAACAGTAGTGCTTGCGACTCAAATAGAGCACTTGTCTCCTTACAGAGAATCTTGTGAGTTATGCAGATCAGTCTAGCAAACCTGGGACAGGGCTGCACTGAAAGAGAATGCATTTATCCATAGGCACATTTTTTTACATCATAGGTTTTGAGATAGAACCAAAATGTATGTACTACATTATAAATATTTGCTGCGGAAAACAATATATACAAGTGTCCCTAACAAGACTGGTCAGTCTACAGTTACTGGAAATGGGTGATTTCTAAAAGATGATGACATCATCAGTGGCAAAATGGTATGTTTACTGGATTTTACTTATCTAGAAACTACATAGTGAATCCAAATACAAAGTATATCCTGTGTTCAAATGTATAACTCAGGTTTTTTATTTCTTGTAGAATTCTTAGACAACAAATCATCTCATTAATTTCATAGACACACACACACTTTTCCTCAGCATGGGTAATAATACATGTGACAGCAAGGAATAAGGAATCTAATTGTAATATTCTAAATATTCCTTATCACATTTATTTGTCTCCTAAATCAGCTTTAAAAAATAAAACCAAAACAAACCAGCATTTGTTATATTTTGAAAATTTTGCTTGATGTCCAGGCTTATTTTTATCATAATGTAACAACTATGAATGATTTACTGCGATAAATGGATGTATAAGTCAATGTGTTTCAATGCCCCCTGTGTATTTAGGAGCCAAAGTTCCACAGGAATGAAATGGTGGAGTTTCAGATCCTCAGCTGTGAAAAGCCTGATATTTAAAATACCCTTTGGCATGTACATACTTTTAAAAGTCTAGCCCCTTATTTTTTAAAGTTTTACTTTCACATATTTGATGCCAAACTGTTTCAGAGCACAGGCAGCGTGAGCTTGTAGCTATCCATTCCCAACTGGGCATTTCCCTTGGTGGGAAAAAGAGTGTCTAGGAATAAGGCATCTGTTGACTGGTTGATTATGCCAAGCTAACAAAAAAAAAAAAAAAAAAGCAGAAGAAGGATGGGATCTGGAATATATTTGGGGATTTATGAAACACTGGGATGAAAAACTTGGAAACTTGGAATCTCCTCAATGACATAGAAATGATTTTACACATCACATTTGAGGCAATCAGTTGATTTCTTAATTTTTTTTTTCAAGAAATAAAGTAAAGGAGCAGCTGAAGAATGCAGTAGGTGTTCTCACCTTGTAGTCTACCTTTTAAATGGAAGATCTGGGTTCAACGTTCTCCTCAGCCAGAAAAATATACTATAAACCTAAACCTTTTTCCCTTCCAAGAACCTTCCTTCATCCCTTCTGTGTTCCAGAGTGAAGGTTTCTGTTCCTGTTATAAAACACTGTCTATGGTGGGTAAACGAATAGGAATATGTAGCTTTCTGAGGTCTAGCTCAGTATTACTAAGTTAAAAGAATTGTTCAGGCCTAAAAATACTATAACTATATCCACTTACAAATTTGTAAAGCTATTTTATACATCTATGCAGATATCTTCCTGCAAATTATACTTACAACTAACCTGTCTGGCAAAACAGGGTCTTCACTTTCAGGACATAGTGAAACACGACATATGTCAAGTATTTGCTGAACAAATAAGAAGAAACTGGTATGTACTCTCTATGATGAACAAAAGAAATTAAATGCATACATGCTTTCAAATCCAGCCAAGTTTTTCTGAGTTGTACTTTATACTTCCCATTAATTATATAGGAGAAATGGGAAGATCTGGAACTGAAGAAGTCTTTGAGGAGAGAGGCAAATAAATAATTGAATACTGCATTGCTTTAGATGGCTTCCACATTCTTTTGCCCTAAGATATCTCTTTCAAGCTTCAGGGAGTTAATAAATTAGACCACTGATCCATCTATTACATCTGCTTTGGGGGACCACAAAAAAAGGAAAAAAAAACATCAGGGTGGAAACATTTAATCTTGTAATTTATTCTCCTTTACTACTATTTAACATTTTCCCAACTAAAAAAAAAAAAAAACTAAAACCAATGAAAAGTCCATTTAAAAACCTGAATTTAGAAGTGGGTGCATTTATTTATTAATTTAGTGGATTACATGAAAATACAAAAAGTCTACTTCCAAACATTCACAGAAAACACTTAATATTCATAGGTAATTTGCCTTAAATACACATACGTGGTTTAGATAATACTAATTTTTGAGTTAAGACTCGCTAGGTTTGATGAGCTCTGATAAATCATAAAAGTTATAGGAAGAAACAATATGAAAAATTATAAGGCTATATTCTTGAATTTACTCTATAAGAAAGGACAGGTCAATCTAGTCAAAATTCATGAACTGTATTACTCCTGAACTGAGCTCACATTCAAGGTATGACCTGAGAACATGCATACACCTCTGGCTGTACACTCCCTGTTTGCCATTAAAAGGAGCCTGACAAGGAGGCACTAATGACTCAACTTTATCCAGTCCTCCAGAGGTTCAAGCTCTCTCTCACAGGCTGGGAGATTAAAGATAAATTTCCTTCTCTTCTAAGGGGAGGCAGGTTAAGGAACAACAGATTGGACTGTCTTGTAATTTTGGCTTTCATTTATTTCTGATGAACACCCTAATTTAGTAAAAGAGACCTCCTAGATGAGAAAGAATCCCAAGACTGTCCCTCCTCTTTACAATCTTCATAGCCAATAGTTGTCTTCCTGAGTATTTTCTTCAAACTTACATGCTGAAAATTCATGCCCATGTCTTCAAACATAATTTATAATATATATTCCTGCAAAAATGTTTACGCTGCTCTTGTGCTGCCCTATTTATTTTCTCCCTAGACAAGAAAACACAGCGTACCCAAGACAACATTGTGAAGGAGCTGCTATTATGTCTTTTCTCTCTCATGATAAAAAAACATCAAGAATTCCCCTTAAATGCCACAGTGCAATATGGAGGAAGATTTAAATATTATCATTAAGCTTTCAAACTGTCTAATTCCAGATTTAGCTGTTTTCTTTCTGCTGATGTCATTTAATTATAAATGCTGAAGCTTTTAGCAGCGTAGAATCAGATATGTTTGGTTATGAATGATTAAGTGTGCATAAAGTTTTTACCAGCACATTAATCATTGGGTATAGAAAGAAGCATGACACTGGTTAAAAATTCACCGCTTCAGTGCCCATGGGATGTGTAAAGTTTTAGCAGACAGTCAGAGATTGCTTGCCTTTATGACAGGCCAAGCACTGAGTAAGATTGGTTGAATTTACATTCCCCTAAACAGTACTTTCTTTTGTTTAATGAGAGTAATTGTCCTTTGACAGTATGAATGGCAGCAGCAGCAACAACAGCAGTGGCAAAATCAGATTAGGAGTTTTAATTATGCTTTATTGGATGTCAGTTCCTGCAACCTAAACCAGACACCAAAGAACAAACTAGTTCAGGGGAATGCAGGTATCTCAGTACATCCGTGTACTGCATAGCTCTTCCCAAATCACCCACTTTCACTCTTGTGTGATCCAGCAGAAATGGTTTTATTCAGCATAACAGCAGCACACAGACTCGACAAAGTGTGGCCCTTCTGTGATAAGTTTTGAAAATACACTTAGTAAAGGGCTGTCTTTATTTTCAAGCATGTATAACTATAAGCACCTTTGGGACTTGGGACGTTCATGTGAACTTTCTATTTCTTTCACACTAAAGAGCCTTTCTAAATGTCACCCACGTCTGAGTGGGAAAGTCTCCTTCCTGGCTTCTGTGACATTAACTTTCAGACTGGGCAAAGTTACGTCTATGCATAAAGCCTGAAAATAACTTGCTGCAAAGCTAGACAACTGTAAAAGTGTCTCCAGCAGTTCAGGTTTTGTATTCAAGCTTTCTTTCTCCCCTAAATGGTGAGAAGTGTTTTGATATACCTCAACATTTCCTTTAGCTCAGTTAGGGCAGATTAAAAAGCCCTTTAAAACAAATATAAACCAGAAAACAGTTGCAGAAGTTTATAGTAATCTATACTTAAAATAGATGTGTGAACATCAAATCTAAAAGATTTCTCTATACATCCAGCTCCCAGAGACACCCTCAGGAATCCTAGTGTCATGCATTCCTGTTTCATGTCCTGAATAAGCATCTGTACCTACTGAAACATACTGGGTTTTACAGACTATTTCTCTGGGTGCTCTCTGGGAGTTACACATTCAATTCTTCTCAATTCCCAAATTTATTTACCTATCTGACTTACTGGGGAGATGATTTAGACAGTCCTCCTATCCAAAGGAAGGTTGTCCTGCTGCTGCTGTAGAGATGAAAGCACTGATGCAGCAGAAGAGTGTTGCTTCCTACACTTGACTGACCAACTGCAATCTCTTTGGTTTATGAATAATTCCTTTTCAAGGCTGTGTAAAAATGTTAGAGCAGAAATTTCCTTGACTTCATTTACATCTATAAAAACAGATGCATTTTTTATGGTACTCTTGAAATTATTAAATATACTTGATACTAATATGAAAATGAGAAAAATGTAGTTAGCTCATTACATGACCTCACAGATAAATGTCAAACATTTGCATTAACCCTGCTGAGTTGTCAGCTGGTTTGGAGTGACTGTCCCCTAAACTTATCTTTGGTAGGTACTGTAGTAACTTGTAAATTTGAAAATCTAGTAGTGCCATCATCTAGTTAAGTAAGAACTGGAATAACCCCAATATAGCAGCAGGATTTGAAAGAAATGTGGAAATCCAGAGTAGGATTTTGCAAGGTGCAAGCCTCAAATACAGTGGGAAGCATATTTTAGCTCTCTGAAAAAAAGAATGTGTGCATAAGAAGCCATGTAGATTTTAAGTATGTTTCTTTGCACCTGTGTTTGTAACATGGATACTGCAGATACAAAAACTACATCTCATGAGATATTTCTTTTTCCTGTGGGAAGTCTAAATAGATGAGTATGAAAATTACCAGCAATGGCTATAACCTACACCAGCAATTTTTTAAATAGGCTTACTATTAGTTCTTCATGTTTGCATTTCTTCATAAAACAGCAGAGGAAGTCTGTACAATAGAGCTCCAGAAAAATATTAGCAGAAAAAAGGGAAACTCAAGTGAACAACAAAAATAATCTTATGTATCTTTACACAAAATGACTGAAGACTTATATTAAATCATTCATATACTGTATTAAAAGATCCTTAATACTACTCCCAATTATTAATCTCCAATGGACTTGCAATGGTATTTGTGGCATTGTTATTACTTTGCTTGTTTGGATAAAGACACTTTTTTTCTGCAAGAAAATATGCTAAAGCATGACTATTAAGCAATTTCAGTACGAATAACTTTCATGTTCTACCCAAGTAACCATCTGATGAATAATATAATCTAAGAAAGTTCATAATAACACAAAATAAATACAGTACGTGTAATGATGTTGCAAATTAAGACAACCCAGCAGAAGCCACTTACTTTTTTCTAACATTAGCATAAAAATAAAAAACATCTGAGACTTCTTTCAGCCTCTCCCTGCAGGACCAGTTATACCTCCTTTAAAATGAACTTTTAGGGTAATAAAGTAATGGCATGATGAATATTCTAAAAGGTCGATATTAATTAACTGCATTAACAAACCCAGGACAGTATTTTATATAGAAATAGCTGTTTGAGAACACATTGATCTTTTTTTTTTTTTTTTTTTCACATGTGTACCAGCAAAAGTTTCTTCAGCAAGATTTCTGTGAAAAACAGTTTGAGGGAAGGCAGTAGAGTACAGATCGTTATGAACACTAGAGTGTATTTGGTGTGTGTGTGTATATGTTTGTGCACGCATGTGTGTGTATACACATACACATAAATATGTTACAGTAAGTTTGCTCAGCTCATTAGTTTAACAATGTCAACATTTGCAAAGAAAACAAATCATATCCCCATACATACAATGCCAGCATTGAAGGAAATCAAACATCTATTCAGAAGCTGTGAAGTTAGCTCCTGTGCTGTCTGAACTCCAACTTTCAGTCTAAACATATTGTATGGGTTCAGCTACAAAGAAGCTGTTACTACAAATGACCCATCATGTTGTCAATTTCTCTCTTAAAAAAAGGTGAAGCCTTCCACCTCAAAATGGCCTAACCGTCTGTGAAGAGGAAAGTAAATCAGTTGCTGGGCTTGGGTTATCATTATATTAGCAAGCAGTGCATTGCAACAGGGAGTTCTGCAGAACAAAACACTTTCTGCTAAGTTTTAGGGAGCTTTTACTACAGATTCATTCTAGTTAATTCTTGTGGTGCACCTGAAATTTGCAGAAAAACATCTGGTTAAGTTTCATCTAAAAAGCCTTCACTTCCTACACTCCAGCACTGTTTTCATGATAGTAATAAAAACGTTGAATGGTGGGATGGTGATCTCCTGAACATCTACTTCAAAATAACACTTTTCATCCTAAATAAAATGCTAATCTAGATGTACCTGTTGTCAAGACATTACATGTAGTCATTCTTCAACTTGACCTGTCTCAAGACCATTAAAAGATGCAAGAAACTATGAACTTTTCCATTAGTATAAGTCTTACACACCTCCATCTATGCACATTTCGCAACTCAGTCCAAAACTCACTACGGCTTGAAAAGGAAGGAAGAAATAGCTTGAAATAGCTTCAAAACCACTAAATCTGGACCCAATCTTCTTCTGTAACTAATCAGATGAGTTAATAATTTTTTCTTTGCCTCATCCCAGCCACAAAAGATTCTCATACCAATTTCACCACATCATTATTTTGGCCTTCCAAGTGACAAGAGACTTGTTAATAGCACCCAAAGTCTATCCATACATTAGAACTTAATGAAGATATAATTTCATTCCTGTCAAAGCAAGTGTTTGTAATTTGCCTTATTCCTCTTATGGTATGCTTTGTAGAGTGGCTTTGACTATTACTTGTACATGCAACCTTGAAAAAAAAACAGCAGTTTGAAAGCTGTGAGGAAGAAAAGGGCTACAAAAATGATGATGGGACTCTCTCATGTAAGGAAAGGCTGAGAGAGCTGGGACTGTTGAGCCTGGAGAATAAAAGGTCTGGGAGGGATCTCATCAATGTGCACACATCTTAGAACAGAGAGTGCAAAGAGGACAGAGCCAAGATCTTTTCAGTGGTGCCCACTGACAGGAACAGAGGCAATGGGCACAAACTGAAACACGGGAGTTTCCCTCTGAACATGAGGAAGCACTTTTTCACTGTGAGGGTGACTGAGTGTCGTCAGAAGGGGGAGAGAGTGGCTGTGTGGTCTTTGGCTTCCAACCAGGCTCAAACCACGACACTGAGCATGGGCACAGGCTACCCAGAGATTGTTGTGGAGTTTCCATTCTCAGAGATACACAAAATCCAACTGGACATGAACATGAGCAACCTGCTGTAGCTGACCCTGGTTTGAGAAGTGGGGTTGGACTAAAGAATCTCCAGAGGCACCTTCCAGCCTCAAATATTCCATAATTTCCTAAAGAACCTACTGTGATTCAGGTGAACTTTGGCCATATCTCTCTTTATCCGTTCCTATTATCTTGCAAAAGGGTGTGAATTTTCCTTCAGCAGAATAAGGCATGTTCTGGCTCAGGAAATCATTTTGATTGATAATCCTTATTTGCAGCAATGTTACTTGGACCTTACAGCCTCAGCTGTAGACCAATGGCTGCTGTGGGTTTATCAGTTTTATAGCATTTAAGATTTTCCTTAGACTCACTGACACCTGCAGTCAGATGATTCCATAATCACTACAGCTTTCCTTGAAAAAAGATTAGTCAACCCACATGTATGCAAAAATTGATAATGTGAATTTGAAATGCCTAAAAAGCAAAATTTTCTCTTAATGGTCAAAATTTTTAAAAAATCTTACTGTTTTTCTGGTGTTCTGATTCTGGAGACAGAAACCAAGTGTCCAATTTAACCAACACCGGAACACTACAGCTATAAAGTCTTCTAGTGAGACCTTCAAAGGCTTAAAAAGATATTCTCCCGCACGTAAGGAGTACCTACTTTCCATCCGCAAATAAATTTATTTACAGTAGCCTTTAGTCTTTTAGCATGAGTTGTCTCTTCTTAGTTGGAAAATCTTTTCCTCACTTTGCTTTCCTAAGGGCAACTACAGTTGTTGCAACTCCAGAGATACAGTAGTTCATGCTGAGCATCTGGAAGTTGCTTTTATTTCCTTAGCATTTACAAGTAACTAGCCAGTGTAAGGGGTATTTTTGGAGAATTAAAACGATCATGCAGACAGTCAATATTAATTCTTCCTATACTGTGAGGGTATATACTAAGGAAGAATGGATTTCTCTTCTGCAGACCAATGCCTATTTCAGATTAGTGAAGGAAGGGTCATCTAAAAAAATGCTTACAAAATGGAAGGCATGAACTACGATTTCAATCAAAACAACAAATATTTTTCCTAAAATATTGCTTTTTCTCCCCAGATGTGAATTTTTTATACTTATTCAGTTTGCTTCTGGCAATAAACGCAAACAAAACCAAAACGTAACACTGCTATAGTTTCTTCAGACTAAATGATCTTTCTCTTTAGATGATTACAATGGAGAGTTTCATATTTTTCAGACATCTAGTTGGAACAGCAACAATCAACTTATTTAGCTCATATATAATATTTACCACTGTATTTTAGGCTGACTAGTCAATAAAGCCTCCATTTCATAAAAAATGAAGGAACCATTAAAATGATATAAAGAGGATAGGCATGACATAAAAAAAGGCTAAAAATCTTTATTTTTTTTCCCTTTGAATGGAGTATATACCTCTGCATTCTTTAAACAGACAGAACATGAATCACTTTCTAGAAACCTTCTCTTTATCGGATAAAAGTATAAATAATGCCAGTGCCAAATCTTAAGGCAAAAGGAGAGTAAGAGTCACATACTTCTTTGGAAATAGTACCTTTGTCCTAATGATAGCTATTGAACATAACAGCTAAATGTCAGGGAACGGAGAAAGAGAAAGAAGATTCAGCATGAAAATCTACAGACAAAAAGGACATTTTCATCATTCCTATGAACAAAGTTCCTTTACTGTTTTCTTAAATTCTGGCTTTGCTAGAAGATAGTATTTTTATTAATATATCACTATAGTGGTCAATATAGTAGAAAAAGGTGAATATAGTAGAAAATGGAGCAAAAAATCAATGTTCAGTGTCATGGAAAGTAACTGTTCCATAGTCCTTTTCCATTGTCAGTACAGAATAATATAAGGAAAACAGGAAAGATAGAACAAATACCAACCCAGAACATTACTGAGTGATTCAGTTCAAGAGATGGGTCAGAAGCTACTGGCTAAAAAACTTAAATTTAACTTCAGAGTGCAAAAAGCCAGGTTCAGTTCTTTTTTTTTTTTTTTTTTTTTTTTTTTTTGTGAGCTGATAGTGCCCTGAATAATTTTCCTCTTGTATATATTGACCAGATTCTCTCATTTGATATCTCTTCATCTGAACACAATTGTATGGGATTTAGAGTGATTTTTAAATTTTTTTTCCCAACTGAAATTGTAGCTTTAAGAACATTTTGATAACTGTCATGTGAGAACAGCTGTATGCACAGTATGTATGCAGAGTTCTTCTTAGATCTCTTTCTACTCATCCTTCAGCACAGGAAACCAGTCTGGTCATTTATTTCTGTGGCTGAGTAAAAAACCAGTATAAAGCCTTAAATTCCCTACGAGGACCCAGATGTCAGAGAGCAGTGTCTCCACCACTAAACAATCTCCTGACATTATAACTGAGGCCTGCAGAGTGAGAATACCAGATTCGTGCTTCTGGATGAGAAGGTTAAGACTTGAGGAAAAAGAAAAGAATGCATTTGATGGTGCTGTGATTGCTTTGAGTTTCACAGACCACAAGCTGTCACTCCCATAATCAGTCTTCACCCAAAAGCAACTCAGAGTAGTAGTAATGGGAACATTGGTAAAACAGATGGGGACATCTGTAAGGATCATTTCAAGGCTGTGCTATTTATAAATTGCTCAAATTCATAAGTGTTAAATTCAACTATAATTCTTAAAATAAAACTAGAAAATGCAATGTTTCCTGATTGCGCATTGTTCAACCTCATACACTTAGCTCATATTATGAAGCAAAGACTACAAAAATCTTAACAAACCTGCAATTCTGTTGTTCATGTTTTCAGCTACATTTCTACAGGAAAACAAGTTGAGATTTTTAAATGAACCAATAAAGTACAATATCAACTGTAAAAATAACTTTTTTATACAATTAAATTAGTGATATTTAAGGTTGAGTTGGTTCTTAAAAAAAAAAAAACTTCTAAGATAAAAAGAAATCTATACTTCATGTTACCTAGGGTGATAAAGCCAAGGAACTGTAAAGTTTGGTGGATTTTTCTCTCTTGTGCATTCAACAGGGTTCGAGTTTTGCTACCAACAATAAATAACATTTCATAATACCTAGTAGTGCTCTACAAATTGCGTCAGAATCTGGCCTTATGTCCTGATGGGAAGGAAGACTCAGTGACTTGACTCCTTGGTAATCTTAAATCACCAACAATTTTGTGTTGGCCACAAACTTTATCCTTAATCTCGAGCAATTACATTTACTTTGGAAAAGAAAAGGTACAGTGTCACCTAAGTACAAATTTTGAGAAATTAAGAAAGAAAGAAAGGTATTTAATGATTGAATAGTTTCAGAGTTTACAGGCCATATAATCTCTAATTTTGACTGAGGACATGGAAAATCTGTAAATTTAGAAGTCTGTATTAGCATACCCAGCAAATAGAAAAACAGGAAATACTGTACCATCCTTAAGCATGCTACAGGCATTTTACCACTTGTTATCTCACCATGAATTTTTATAAAGAAAAACTGTATTTCTGAGGTATAGTGAATGAGATTTGCTGCATATTTTTTACTAGGTCATATTTATGTGCCAGATATGTCATGTTTATCTATTCTCTACATTTGTAAGTCATCCCAATTGAAATCAAGAATGAGGCTGCATTTGTCCAGTTGCAATATTTTACTCCTCTGGCAAAATGAGGATGCCTTGAGAGACAGAAGTCATTTATGACACTCCTCATATCTTTCATTTCTAAGAGCTATCTAACCATGCCTTCAGAGTAGAGTCTCATGAGTGACAGGTTGGAGAACTTCTCCAGGCTCAGGTGAATAGATAAGTAGCCTCAATAAGATGTTAGCAAAAGACATTAAAAATGCCTTTCCCAGTTACGGTATGAAATCCAAATGCCTTCTCAGTTCCTCTGGAACATTCAGGATGGTCTGAAAGGCCTGACATATATCATGAAAGATATTTTTGCTGCTGACATCCACAAGACTGCCAAGTCTGTGTACCAAGCAACTCCCTTTGCCTCTACACTTTCCTTTGGTAGCAAAGCGTCATTATGACTACATGTGGTCTACTCTTGTTAGTAACTATGCTTATAATACTCTTCCAGGATGGTTAAATAGTGGTTGTCTACAGGCATCCATAGCATTGTCTGAAGCTTCAAGAAATAAATTAAAAAAAAGAAAAAAAAAAGCATGTGGTGATCCTTTCAAATCTTGTGAATTACATTTGACAACGCTTCAGGCATCTTAGAACTGTTCTTCAATGAAAAATATCAGGGGAAAAAATAAAAACAGATTTATGGAGACTCATATTTTTGTATACCACACTGCATGCACTTTTTATACCTTGCAGCCTCATCCTGTCATTCTGAATATTTTTATTTCACTATTAATATTTTACAGAACAATTCTGTGAAATTTTTCCTTACATTACATTCCTCTAATGGTGATAGCTTAGTGTTATTGTATTTAGTATAAAATCAGTCTATATTATGTATAAACAAAAGTTCTGAGACTTCAGTGTTATGTAAAGACTTCATATATATGAATAGGCTTAAGGTTACAAGGATTCCTGTAGCTGTTATTTATATTTTACTCACTGAAATAAGAAGAAATAAAATATTTTTTGTAAATAGAATTTTTTTTTCTTTTAACCACGTCCATGAATACAAAATATGAATGATGATGAGTATCACATTTAGATGTGTTCTGTGTAATTTTAGACTGCTTAAAGAATTGTGCTGTTTCATGTCTTTCTTGTGTGATAGCTACTCTGTAATTGGGGTAGATTCTAAAATGACCTCAAATGGACCATAAATTCATGATTTTCTGTAATATCTGTAAATAGTTATATTAACTATTATTCAGTTCTGTATTTTATACCCTTTGCA